CTTTAATAGTTTAACTCCTAAGTAATAGTGTTAATTTTATGCCTTCTTAATTGATAAAAACATTTTAGGTAAAGTCATAATAAGCAATCTCAATTAAATATTATTTTAGTACACAATCTCTAATTTTATTTGAAAGGCAGATCTACAGATCTGGGAGAGAGAGGCAGTGAGTGAGTGAGCGAGCGGTCTTGTATATGCTGGCTTATGCCTCAGATGGCTGCGGTGGCTGGGGCTGAGCTGAGTTGAAGTCAGGAGCTTCTTTGCGGGTGTCCCTTGCAGGTGCAGGGGCCTGGAGGATGTGAGCCATCCTTTGCTGCTTTCCCAGATGATGCTGACCTCACTTTGACCAGTCAGATGGAAAGGATGAGACAGAGGATCTGCACATTGGAAAATTTGACAGATGTTGCTGGATTATCCTCTCGAAAGGTGCTGGCTGCTTTTCTTTTGTCAACAGTCTACAATTTGAGCATTTAGGGTCTGGGATGATAGCTCAGTTGGCTAATCCTCTGGCTGCTAGTGTGGATTTCCGTATGGGTACCCATTCGTGACCTAGATGCTCCACTTCCCATTCAAATCCCTGCTGGGAAAACAGCTGAAGATGGTCATAGTCCTTGGGTCCCCGCACCTACATGGGAGACCTGGAAGAAGCTCCTGGCTCTTTGCTTTGGGTCGGCTTAGCTCTGGCCATTATGGCCACTTGGAGTGTGAACCAGAAGATGGAAAATCTTTCCTCCTCTCTGTAATTCTGCCTTTCCAGTAAAAATAAATAAATATTTAAAAAAAAGACATGTTAGTTGGCATTTGAATGTCTTTATATTTGTCTACTAGTGATTCTACTAATCTTTATTGGGTAATATTTTATTGATTTGTAGTAACTTTCATGTATTGCGTATTTTTTTTTAAGTTGGTGGCTTGTATTTTAACTTCTGCATCTTTTATTTTTATATGGTCAAATCTGTTTTTATGGCATCATATCTTGTTCTGCTCAGAAGTCCTTCCCTTTGCCAAAATAATAAAAGTGTCTTAAAATGTTAGTTTTCAGTTCCTGTGTTTAGCAGGAATTATTCTGTGTGAGCAAGGGGCATGTTTGGCTGCATTTTTGGGCGTGAGATTAGCTGCTTGGCCTGTTCTTCTGCATCTCATGAAATCTTTGAAGCGGTGGAGTACTTGATGGGGGATGCTAATGGGAAGAAGAAAGTGAAGTCACCCTCTGTGAATGAAGGTCCAACTTCTGACCTTTGCGGAATACGAGTTGGTGTACATGACAGCTGCTCGCACTAGATACAGCCAAAAAAAGTGGGAGTCGCCTGGCTTCCACGCCATCAGCGTGCCAATACTTGAGGCTTTTGGTGTACCCCGCGTGAGAGCAGACTGTGTGTTCTTTAACTGTTGCAGTGCTGCCGTGAGAGGGTGAGGAGGGTGCGGGAGAAGGGTCGGATAAAGAGAAAGGAAATGTGAGCGGACAGCCTAGCTGTGCTAGCGCTGAGGGGCCCTGTAGGTGTTTGTACAGAAAGGAATGAAGCAGCTCACCGCTCCCAACAGTTGGAGTGTGTTGTGTCTTGTCTTCTGTCCCTCTGTGGCTTGGAAACCTGCGCCTGCTTTGACTGGGTCGCTAACCTGTGAACGGTGCTTCTGAGGCGGGCGCATGCTTCCTGTTTCTCCGTGCGTATGTGTGTAAGCAGTCACTGTTGCTAGAAGAATCACTGAGTAATTTCAGAAGAGAAACGCTGATCCGAAGCTCTCATTTCCCCCAGAAGACAAGACAGCACTCTCAGCCTCAAACCCATTCTTTGCAAATCAGAGGGAAGGCTATGTTCCTTTTGGTCCTGCCCTTTCCTCTCTGACACAAATGTCTCAGTGTTACAGCTGAGGTGTGCGGTCTGTGAGGAGTGGTGTTTAGATGTGAAATTAGTTAGTGTGTTGTAACTTCCGTAGCTGGGAGAATTGCCAAGAGGAAATAAAACCAAGAAACCTTTTACCCTTTTTTGTTTAATTTAGCATGTCAAGGTCCTGTTGATCTGCTTTGTTTATTGGGTTAGTCACAAAAGGGTGTGTGTGTGTGTGTGATGTTTTACAACTCTAGTTTGTGATTTTTGAGATTGTAAGTATAATATTTACTGCTGGGGTTTTGGAACTAATTACTAGGCTATTTATACTTTACAAGTCACTTCCTACATTATTTGGAAGTCAGAGTTATAGAGATGAGAGACAGAGAGGAAAGGTATCTTCCATCTGCAGGTTCACTCCGCAGATGTCTGTATTCTGAAACTGGGTCAGGCAGGAGCCAGGAGCTTTTCCAGGCTTCCCACCAGTTTCCCAAGCCATGACCAGGGAGCCGGACTGGAAGTACAACAGCCAGGATGAGAACTGTTGCCCGTGCAGGATGCCAGTGTTGTGAGTGGTGGCTTTACTGGCTACGCCACAGTGCTAGCTAGCCCTTACAAATAACTTTTGTAGTCATTTCCGTTACACAATAAAGAGAGGTGGATTGGACAGTTCGAGGTCATAGAGGCCGGCGCCGTGCAAGGCAGACAAAGCTGTGACACTGACATCCCACATGGCTGCTGGTTCAAGCCCCAACTGCTTCACTTCTGATCCAGCTCCCTGCTGTGGCCTAGGAAGGTAGCAGAGAATGGCTCAAGTCTTTGGACCCCTGCACCCAGGTGGGAGACCTGGAGGAGGGTCCTGGTCCTGGTCCTGGCGTCTGGCTGTGGACTCAGCTCTGCCAGTTGTGGTCATGTGGAGAGTGAACCAGTGGATAGAAGTTCTCTCTCATTTGTCTCTGTCTCTCTCTCTCTCATTCTCTCTGCATTTCTCCTCTCTCTGTAAAACTGTCTTTCAAATGAAAGCAAATAAACAAAAGAATTCAGGATTAAAACAGCAAAAATGAGAAGGAAAATGATATATCTGCTTTTTTGATAGGAATGTCTGGGGCTACTTAGCACAGATTCAAACCAAGACCTTTTGATTATAAGGTCTATTCCTTTTTTCTCTAGAGTTTCTTTAAAACTAAATTCTTTTTTGAAAAAGATTTATTTATTTTTATTACAAAGTTAGGTATACAGAGAGGAGGAGAGACAGAGAGGAAGATCTTCCGTCTGATGAATCGCTCCCCAAGTGAGCGCAATGGCTGGTACTACGCCAATCTGAAGCCGGGAACCAGGAACCTTTTCCATGTCTTCCATGTGAGTGCAGGGTCCCAAAGCTTTGGGCTGCCCTCACTGCCTTCCCAGGCCACAAGTAGGGAGCTGGATGGGAAGTGAAGCTGCCGGGATTAGAACCAGCGCCCATATGGGATCCCGGGCGTGTCCAAGGTGAGGACTTTAGCTGCTAGGCCACTGCACCGGGACCCAAAACTAAATTCTGTTAAAGTAAGGGAAACACATATGTTAAGGATAAGAAAAATGTGTGATTTTAATTGTAAATGGTACTTTAAGTAGTTTAGTATGATTCATTTGACTGCTATAGTCTATTGCAGGGAAGAACAATTGACAGTGTATATTGTAGCATCTGCATGGTTTGGAAGTGACCTGGCTGTGCTCTGTGTTGGAGGCTTGGCTCTCAGTGTGTCGATGCAGGGTGCTGAGTCCTTGAACATGTGGAGCCTAATGGGGGCTAAGAGGGTTGAGTAGTTCTTATGGGACTCCAAGCAATTCTGAGAGGGGATTGTTGTATGTGAGCAAGACTGGCTGCTCCAGCAGCTCGCTTCCTGTGGTGCCATGTGGTTTCTGCTTCTTGCAGGGGCTCCCATCCTGATGTGCTGTCTGCTTTTGGCAGAGCTAAGGAGCCCTCCGTGAAGGCCAGACCTCCGTGAAGGCCAGACCAGTGCATTTACACAATTTTTTTCCCCCAAATTCTTTATTTCTTCTTGTTTCATGGGGAAAGGAGAGATAAAGGAGGACCCACACCCAGCCTCCCAATGTCCCAGGACCCAGGAATGGGGAGCCACCGCCCAATGTCAACCCAGGGTTCCAGTGCAGTGAATGTTCTGAGGTTTGGATAATTCTGAAATGCTGTCAGTTTTGCCTGTCCAAGAGAGAGCAACCCTCACATTTACATAATTGTTGATTTTACTTGAAAAACAAAGACTGAGACAGGTTATTCCCTACTGCTGGCTCACTCTCAGCATGCCTGCAGTAGCTGGAGCTGTACTGGTCGAAGCTGGTCACTCTGAATCCAGTTGATACTTTCCAGGAAATTTGCATGGACTCAGTCACTTGAGCTGCTGTGTCCTGCTTCCCAGGGAATGAGCTGGCAGGAAGCTGAAGTTGAGAACCGTGCCAGAATTTGAACCAGGCATTGTGATGGAATTCAGGCATCCCATGAAGTGGCTTAATTGCTTTGCCAAACACCTGCTCCCTCAGATGGTTTGTTATAGCAATAGGAAATGAAGATGGTATCAGGTTGTTTCTTCCGAATTTGGCAAAGCCATGTGAAAATGGTTTCAGGATTCTTAGTTACTCAGATGACAAGAGTTGTGGAAGTCATTCCCCCCTAAAGCAGTGTAAGACCCCTGGATAAGGGTCGTGTTCTTCAGTTCTTTGTTTTCTGCCCAGCTGGGCCTGGACTGATGGGAAGTGGGTGTGTACGCATGACTGATCAATCCGTACTGCCTGTTCTTTCAGAATCGGGATATTGTGAGCAAACATTTCCTTGCTTCATTATTGTACTGTTTTTGGCCAGTTTTGAAATTTATTCTTAAAAGTCTGATTTTATTTTTTTTCGAAAGATCTTACATAAACTGGTGGACTCTCCAAATGCCTGTGACAGCTGGGGCAGAGCCTAGCCAGGAGCCAGGAGCCAGGAGCCAGGAGCCAGGAGCCAGGAGCCAGGACCCTGACCTGGGTTTCCTCACAGGGGTGATAGGAACCAAGTACTTTATTGCTTTCTGTTTCCTGGGTGTATATCAACAGGAAGCTAAGCCTGTCTTCCTATGCTATTGAAATTAAAGTCTTACGTATTTAGTGTGTGCTTATGGGGTCTCCTTTTATTTGCTTTAGGACATCCGGAAATTCTTTGGAGTTATACCAAGTGGGAAGAAACAAGTAAATGAGTCGGGAAAGAAGAATGAGAAAACCAAGTCCACTGAAGAATCATTGAAAACAAAGAAAGGAAAAAGGGAAATCAAGGTTAGTTTTCTGAGTACAATTTTACATCATGAAAGATGAAGTAAACTCGGTTTTCCGGAACTTGAAATGTTAGGACTGTTGAGAAAGTACGTATTTCTGCCCATTTTGCAGAAGAAAAAGAAACATAGTGAGGCTACTGCTTTTCTTAATTTTAGATATTGTGTTTCTTAGAATTTCCATTTGATTCCTTTTGCAAGTATGTATTTCTTTGATGTTCTTGAGTGTGTTTCTAGTAGATGCTTAATAATTCCTGTCTGCTCATCCTAACATCTGAGCTACATCAGGATTGATCTCCACAAATGACCGTTTCTCTCGTTTCTCTCTAGTCTTTGGGTCTTATTTTAGTCAATCTGGGCTGGCATAAATAAAAGTGTAGACTAAGTGTATATTTGTGTTTCCGTAGTTCTGGAGGCTGGAAGTGCATGGTTCAGGCTGGTCTGTCTCTTGTTGAGCTGAGCGCTCTTTTTCCTGTCTTACAGATATAACTGCCTTGCTGTTTCCCTGGTGGGTGTGGGTGGGAGGACAGAGTGGAGACGGAGTACTCTGTTGCACGTCTTTTCTTGGAGAGACGTTAGTCCCTCTGGGTTAGGGCTCACTTGTTAGCACCTCACCTGGTCTTTTTTTTTTCCCCATTTTTTTAATTATATTTTTGACAATCTTTACATAGTTAATTAGGGCACAGAGTTTCAAGGGCTATAGGGAAGTGGGTAAGACTATTATTTCAATATTGTTTCCTTCATGTATCTGAGGTAAAGGGGGGATATTAAGGGAGAAGCCCCACCCAGTTTCCCACCCACCCCAGGTCCCGGATATGGGGCATGTTCTGAGATACTCGCTCAAGTGGTTTTGATAGTTCACCAGTTATGAATTGCTGCCAGTCTCGCCACTCTGAGCACGATGAGGTCGTTGACGAATCCACTGATTGACACAGTCCCTCATAGCGTCTCCATTTGCCCAGTATTTCGCTGCCAACAAATAGCTGAGGTGGTTGATTGACTTGTTCTGTCTTCTGTCTTTTCTTGGTTAGGGTTCTGAGTCCGGCATTTCATTCTGGGAGGGCCGGCACAGTCCATCTCTCCAACCAGCTGGTGGTTGCAATTGCTGGGTTGGTTCTGTTTTCAGCCTCGACTTCCACTGGAACCAATGGGTGTTGCAGTCCAGCCTGGTTCTGCCCAGCACATACTCGGCCCTCACATAAACCAGTGGGAGCTGCAGCCTAGTCAGAGCGACCCGCAATAACCCCCACCAGGCACGCCCCCTTCCCTGGTTTGCAAGTATGTGTAGCAGACTAGTCCAGTTTGTCCCACATCCCATTTGGCTCCTGTACATGTTAATGAATATTGAAGCTTAGATCTATCTAACCTGCTCAACTATCCAACTCTCACGGATGTTGTTGAGTGCCTCTCTGTCTAGCCACCCCAGCCCCTGTCCTAGTTTTTGTGCCATTCTGTGGGAGTGGTAACCCAAGAGGGAGGAGCCCACTATCTCCCTCCCAGGTCTTTCTCACTCCTGGATTATGCACTCTTCAGGTGGTTCTGGCATTTGACTTGCCAGAATTAGCCCCCAGTGCCAGCTTCTGCCAGCTGATGCTGCAGCTAAGCCCCAACAACCCTCACCCACTCTAATTTATGCTTGCAACAGTAGGAATAATCAGCCCAGCCTGGCTTTTCCTTGATCTAGTCCACAGAGGCACACAGGTGTTGTAGCCCTGCTTAGTCTGGTCTGCCCCCATCCCAGCCCACGTTCTCCAGTGGGAGAGGCTGTCTGGAAAGGGACCCTCCCTTATTCCCCTGCTGGCTCTGCCCCCTCCCTTCCTGGTTCTCACGCGTGCTGATTGGGTGCTGCGGTCACATCTGGTACAGGCAACCTCACCTTGGCATTCCGTATCATTTCCACACATTTTTTATTATTTATTTTTATTGAATGGTGGATATACTGAGAGGAGGAGAGACAGAGAGGAAGATCCTCCGTCCGATGGTTAACTCCCCAAGCGGCCGCAACGGCTGGAGCTGAGCCAATCCAAAGCCAGGAGCCAGGAGCTCCTCCAGGTCTCCCATGTGGGTGCAGGATCTCAAGGCTTTGGGCCGTCAACTGCTATCCCAGGCCACAAGCAGGGAGCTAGATGGGAAGCAGGGCTGCTGGGATTAAAACCGACGACCATATGGGATCCTGACACGTTCAAGGCGAGGACTTGAACCGTTATGCTATCGCTCTGGGCCCCCACATTTTTTTTAATATCTGGGGTAAAGAGGGAGTTAAAGGGAGAAGCCCCACCCAGTCTCCCACCCATCCCAGGTTTCCGATGTGGGGCATGCTCCCGACGGTCTTGCTCAAGTAGTTTTGATGGTTCAACAGTTATGGATTGCTGCCAATCTCACCATTCCAAGCACGAAGAAATCGCTGCAGAATCCACTGGTTGACATAGTCCATCTTAGAGTCTCCGTTTGCCCTGTTTTTCACTGCCAACATATGGTTGAGGTGGTTGGTTGATTTGTTCTGTCCTCTGTCTTTTCATGGTTAGGGATCTGAGTCTGGCAGTTTGAGTGAGGGGATCCATAAAGAAACTTTGAGGCGAACCCAGACCCATCTGGTCTTAAATACTTATTTAGAGGTCTTATCTCCAAATGCAGCCACACCTGGGGCTAGGGCTTCCTCAGTCAGTTTGCAGAGTGTAAATATTCAGTTCACAGCATTCCATCCATGGTCATCCAAAATGTATGGCATTCTTGTGTTCAGAATACACTGATTATATTCTAGTAGTCCCCAAAAGTCTTAACTTACAGTGGCAGCGAATCCAAAATCTAAGGTCTGAATATCATCTAAATCAAATATGAGACTTTACGTGATTCTTAAGCAAAATTTCTAAGTGTATACCTGTTAAGTGCTTCCAAAATACAGTGGTGGAATAGGTACAGGAAAGACCTTAAAAGAGAGAAATTAGGTCCCAACAAAGTCCAGAACCTAGCAAGGCAAATATCATTAGGTTTTTGTTTTGTTTTTAATGCTTATTTGTTTGAACATCAGGCCTACAGACAGAGGTAAAGAGAATGAGATGGCTATGATGGCCAGGACCTGGTCAAGCTGCAGCTGGGAGCCAGGAGCTTCATCAGGGTGTCTCCTGTGGGTGGCAGGGTCCCGAGTTCTTGGACCATCTGTTTTTGTCAGGCCATTAGTAGGGAGAGTTGGTTGATAACGGAGCAGCTAGCTCTTGGACTGGCATTTCTGTGTAATGCTGCATTGTAAGTGGTGGCTTAAGCCATTATGTCACAGTATCAGCCCCATTAAAAAACTTCTGTAAAAGATTATGTGCAAGGCAGCGATAAGGAAAGGCGGGGATTGTCTGGTCTCCAGTCTGTTGGTTTACTCCCTAACTATCTGTATTGATTACAATAATTTTTTTTTCTGCTTTCTTGATGCTTTTGGGGAAATTTTGAATATTTTAGAAATATAATGGTTATCTGTGAAATGTAAGTAATACCTTTTGCCTTGGTTTTGTTTTTTGGTTTCTTTGGTTATTTTTTTTTTTTTTAGGTTTATTTGAAAAGCAGTTATAGAAAGAGGCCTTCCACTGTTGGTTTGCTCCCTAAATAGCTATAGTGACTGGGGCTGGACCATGCTGAAGCCAGGACTTAGGTTTCCCACAGTTGGGCTAATCTTTGCTCCTTTCCCAAGTGTTTCAGCAGGAAGCTGGATTAGACCTGGAGCAGCTGGGACTTGAACTGGCACTCACATGGGATGTCAAGCACTGCAATTGGCAGCTTAACTAATACGCCGCAACTCTGGCCTCTTAGTTCATATTCTAAAAATGTTGTCTTATTCGTGGACTGCTGCTAACTCAGTTTTGCTTTTCTTTGATTTTTAGGAAACACTTGCTCCTGTGGTAGTTGACATCCTTTTCCTTTTCCTCTGTGTTAGACAGGTGATTATTGAAAGTGGAGCTGAGGGCCAGGCACAGTGGCTTAGCAGCTAAAGTCCTCGCCTTGTACACGCCAGGATCCTATATGGATGTAGGTCCTGATTCAGGCAGCCCCGATTCCCATCCTGTTCCCGGCCTGTGGCCTGAGAAAGCAGTCGAGGAAGGTCCAAAGCCTTGGGCCCTGCACCCATGTGGGAGACCTGTAAGAAGCTCCTGGCTCCTGGCTTCAGACTGGCTCAGCTCCAGCCATTACGGCTGCTTGGGGAGTGAATCATCGGATGGAAGATCTTCCTTTCTGTTCTTCCTCCTATCTGTATATTTGACTTTCCGATAAAAATAAATAAATTAAAAAAAAAAGTGGAGCTGAATAATAGTGTAACTTTTCTCATAATTCCTTCTTTCTATGTTGATTTAGTTAGTTGTGAGCATAAATGGCATTTCTGGCTGGATAATTGTGGAAGACTGTCCTAAGCGTTATAGAATGTTTATTAGCATTCTTAGCCTTCCGGCAGATGTCAGTGAATGTGCCTACCCCAGTTGTGGCAAACAGAGCGAAATGGCTCATGGTAGCAGGAGGGTGCTAATGTGACTAAATGGTCCCTCATTGAGACCTGCTGAGCCCAAATCTAGTGAGAAAAAAGGCAGTAAGTTCTGTGGGCTTCTTTGTGTTCTAATTGTGCAATGATGTTTACAGGTAAATAGCTCTTACAAGGACGATGACTCCAAACAAAAGCACTCAAACAAGAAAAAGAGGATCATCTATGATTCAGGTAATATTTTTTCTGAGGACCTTTATAGTCTTAAAATTAAAACACTGTTTAGAGTACTGCTTTCTTTTTTTTTTTTTTAAAGATTTGTTTATTCTTATTACAAAGTCAGATATACAGAGAGGAGGAGAGAGAGAGAGAGGAAGATCTTCCGTCTGATGAATCGCTCCCCAAGTGAGCGCAATGGCCGGTACTACGCCAATCTGAAGCCAGGAGCCAGGAACCTCTTCGTGTCTCCCATGTGGGTGCAGGGTCCCAAAGCTTTGGGCTGCCCTCGACTGCTTTCCCAGGCCATAAGCAGGGAGCTGGATGGGAAGTGAAGCTGCCGGGATTAGAACCGGTGCCCATATGGGATCCCGGCACGTTCAAGGTGAGGACTTTAGCTGCTAGGCCGTACCACCAGGCCCAGAACACTGCTTTCTAAATCTGAAGTTCTGAGGCATTCAGCTCTAGTGATGTTAACACATGCTGTGAACGGAGTGCTGTTATATGCTCAGGTAAAGTTTAAAACAGCTTTTTTTTTTTTTTAAAACTGCAGAACTTAAGTTAAGCATGTTATTGTATTAAAAGTTTATTATGTAGGGCCTGACATGATGGCCTATTGGTTAAATCCTTGCATTGCATGTGCCAGGATCTCATGAGGGTGCTGTTTGTGTCCTGGCTGCTCCACTTTCTATCTAGCTCCCTGCCTGTGGCCTGGGAAAGCAGTCAAGGATGCCCGAAATCCTTGGTACCCTGGCACCAGTGGGAGACTTGAAAGAATCTCCTGGTTTCAGATTGGCACGGCTCTGGCTGTTGTGGCCACTTGGGGAGTGAGCCAGTAGATGGAAGATCTTTCTCTCCTTCTCTTTATAAAATTGACTTTCAATAAATAAATCTCAAAATAATTTTTTTTGAGAGACATAGAGAAAAGAAAGAAAGAATAGTTTTATGCACCTATTCTGTTCCCACATGTTCATGCTGGTCTTGTGCTAGGCTGGAGGAGTAAACTGGGAATTGAGCCTAATTTAGGGCTGTCAAGTGGGTGGCAAGAATGCAGTCAACGGAGCATCACTGCTGCCTGCCAGGTCTGCATTTGCAGGAAGCTGGAGTCACAAGTTTTAATTTGGTATCAAACCTAGGTACTGCAGCATGAGATACGGGGTGTCTTTAAAACAGTTTTGTTTATTATTATTTTTAGTTTGGAAAGTAGGCAAACAGAGAGCTTCTGTCCACTAGTTTACTCCCCAGATGCCTACAGTAGTGCCACACCAGGCACCAAAGTTTGAATCAGACATTCCATCCAGGTCTCTCACATGAGTGGCAGGGCCCTGACTGTTGATTTGTCCCCCACTGCGTCCATCCAACATCTACACCAGCAGCAAGCTATCCAGGCACTCAGATATGGGAGCTGGTTATCCGCTAGATGTCCAGATTGCGGGACCATCACGTGGGCATCTTAGCTGGTTTCTTAACAGCTTGCCTGACACCCACCTGCCACTTTAATTTGTGTTCTGTGTGAAGCCTTTGCATTAAAACTGAGGGTTAAGGAAGGATTTTAAGACTGTCAGGGTTTTGACAGGAATGGCAAAGGCTGTGATTCAGTTGCGAAAGTGCTTGAGTGTTTATTCTCTGTCTTTTACTGCTTAATACAAGGGCTTTTGAAAGATCTGTGTCCTGTTCCCCAGGTGTTAGCTTTTATTTTGGAAAACTGGAAAGTTACTTGTTTAAACAGTACAAGACAGAGCTTATAAATGCATGAATCAGAGGACGTAAACTCAAGTTTATGAAACATCGATTTTCTGCTAGGTACCACGCCAGGTACTCTACATTTTGTCCTGATTTATATTTGAATGATCTTGAGAATAGGGACTGGTTCCTGAAGAGTTCTGCACCTGTTTATTTGAACCTGTGAAAAGGTTAGCTTACACTGCAAACGGAAGTCAAAGTGACAGGCAGCATTAAGGTGGTTAAATCAAATGATCTTAACCATGTGCATTTTTCCTGGATTGTTCGGGTGGGCTCATTGAAGTCAGAAGGAATAGGAGGAAGAAGAGACTGAGAGAGACTTACGTGGAGGAAGCTCCGAGAACCTGAGTGATGGTGGTGTTTAAAAGGACTCCACTTGATACTGCTTTGCAGGTGGGGACCGTGAACTAAGCCATGCTGATGTCTAAGAGAAACTGACAGAGGCCGGAAGTGGATTCTTTCCTGGAGTGTCCAGAAAGGAACAGAGCCTTGCTGACATCTTGATGTTAGCCTGGAACCCTTCCTGGACCTTCAGACTTCTAGAACAAAAAGATAATGCATTTGTGTTGTTTCAAGCCACAGGATGGTAATGCCTTGTTAAAGCAGCAACAGAAAGCTTGGGGGAAAGGAATCTGGGAAGATACACAAAAGCAGTGAATCGAGGAGTTGAGTCACAGTGACTAGTTCAAAAACATATACATTGTGATATTTCTTTTCTTATTTTGCTCTTACATACAGATTCAGAATCAGAGGAGACAGTTCAGATAAAAAATGCCAAAAAGCAATCAGAGAAATTGCCGTTGTCTCCTAAACCTGGTAAAACTTTACGGCAGGATCCTGTCACCTACATTTCAGAAACAGGTAAGGTCGCTGAATGCTGGTGTGTTTAGGGTTTGTAACGTTTTGGTGATGTGCTTAGTTCTTGAGCTGTTTGCTAAATGTACCTCTTTCTGAGTTTCTGTTGCCTTTTTGTTGAGCAGAATGCTCTAATTACCTTCGGCATCTCCCGTGGGTTTAGAGCCAGTTACAGGAGAATTAGCCTTTGGAATTTTTTAAGTGCTCTATACTGAATGATATATATCCAACCTTATTTTAAATTGTATATTGAAACATTACTAGGTCATTTTACTTACTTTTGGCTGTAAGTTTTTTATGTTTCGTGTTGAATCTATTAGTGTATATTGTTTTTGTGATTCATAATTTAGTACAGATTGATATGAATTCTATTCTGTGGTGATAATAAAGATTTTCCATTTGACTTTTTAAAAAAATTAAGTATTTTTATTAGGCGTATTAATAGAGAGAAGGAGAGATAGGGAAGATCTTCCATTTGCTGTTGTGCTTCCCAAATGGCCACAATGGATGTAACTTAGCTGAGCTGGAGCCCAGGGGCCAGAAACTTCTTCTGGGTCTCCCATGTGGGTACAGGGTCCCAAGGTTTAGGGACATCCTTTACAGCTTTCTCAGGCCATAAAAAGGGAGCTGGATGGGGAGTGGATTAGCCAGGGCACAAACCAGCACCCATATGGGATCCCAGCACTTGCGAAGCAGAGAATTACCCATTGCACTGGGCACATTCTTTTTTTTTTTTTTGTTAAAAATTATTTTATACTTAAGTTTTTTTCTCTTTTAGAAATTTAATTACTAATTTTTTGGAGAGCCAGGAACAGAAGGCAGGCAAAAAAATGAGGAGGTGGGAGAGAGAACATGTGTGAGCAAGCAGGTTCCAATCTGCCGGTTCATTCATCAAATGCTGGCGTGTTGGTGGGAGCTTGGTCTCAGTCTCCCATGTTGGGACAGGAGTCTGCATACTGGAGTTGTCTCTGCTGTCTTGCAAGGAAAGCATGAAGGATGCTGGAGGCCAGAGCCACAGCAAGGCGCGGAACCCAGCTACTCTGGTGCGAGGCATGCACAGTTAACAGCTGTGTCAAATGCCTCTCCTTTATGGCTTTTTTTTTTTCTTTTTTAGCTTAAAGAGTGATCAAAGAGTAAGATACATGTGAGTGATCATAAGATTTTATAGTGTGGATGTGTCTCAGAGAGGGTTCTTTTATGTGCAGAATCCCTGAGTTAATACTGTTGTCTGAGGAGACAACTGGAGGAATTAATGACGTAATTTTGATTCTAGCAGTCCTAGAAGGGACCATAACAGGAATAATGAGTCTGTGGTGTATCTGAAATGGCCAGACCCAATGCCTGACCCGTACTGGAAGACATCCAAACAGACCAGATAGAAGCAAACAGTTGGCAGGTGAATGTCATAGGCTGCACGAGCTCTTTATGAATGAAGTTGCTGAAAATGCTGAAACACAGAGCGTGAGTGGAGTGGACATAGGCTTTAGGAAATTTTGAGTATGCTTCAATGTTTCTTTGTTTTGACAGTGGTAGCTTGCCTTTGGGCTTTTTTGTTTAATTTGTTTAGTTACAGAATAAAGAAAAAATTGCTTATAAATATCTTAGTAGCTAACCGTTGACCAGTAAAATGTTCTGGGTTGGTAAAAACTCAAATACTTGTTGTACTGCATAAATACATTTATTTTTAACTTTTAAAAAAATTATATGATTAATGCTGTTTTACTGAAATAAATCTTTTATTCCTTCACTTAGCCCTTTTTCCTTAAATAACTGTTTAAACATATATATGTCTATACATAAGTTTATTGCAAAATGTTGACAAATTGCAAATTTAGTCTCTCCCTGTTTTACTTTTTTTAAAATTTATTTTTGTTGGAAAGGCAAATATACAGAGAGGAGGAGAGAGAGAGAGAAAGATCCCCATTCATTGGTTTATTCCCCAAATAGCTACAACAGCTGGAGCTGAGGCAGGAGCTGAGCTAGGAGCCAGGAGCTTCTTCCGGGGCTTCCGTGTGTATGTAGGATCCCAAGGCTTTGAGCCGCCTCTGCTGCTTTCCCAGGCCACAAGCAGGGAGCTGGATGGGAAGTGGAGCAGCCGGGATACAAGCTGGCACCATATGGGATCCTGGCAAGTTTAAGGTGAGGATTTTAGTCTCTGAGCAATCGTACTGGGGCATACTTTTTCTTCCAATATATAGAAATAGCCTATCTCATTCTTTTAAACTTTAAACTTCTACATGTAAGTGTTCACTTTTCTTGTTCTCTTATTTTTTCTTACTGAATTATTGATGTGACCCTGCTTATTTATACTTTGGTCATAATGTATTTAACAATGAATGGGCAATTCACAGTGAAGCATAATACTTAAAGGCAAATAGTGGCACGTGAATATTTATCCTAGTGGTTAAGATGCCAGTGTCCCATGGTGGAGTACTTTGCTTTTGTATCTGATATTTGTTCTCGATTTCAGCTTCATGTTAATGCAGACCTGGGGACAGTACTGATGGCTGGTATAGTTGGCTTCTTGTCAGAGACTTGGATTAAGTTCCTAATTTGGGCCCAGTCCCAGCTGCTGTGGCATTTTGGGTAGTGAGCCACCAAATGAAGGCTCTTTGGCTATGCCCTTCGGTCAGATAGAGAAATAATTGGAGAGCTGGTGCAATGGCTCAGTGGTTAAAATTTCACCTTGCAAGTGCTGGGATCCCATGTGTCCTGGCTACTCCACTGTTCATCCAGCTCCCTGCTTGTAGTCTGGGAATGCAGTAGAGAATGGCCCAAAGCCTTGGGACCCTGTACCCACATGGGAAACCCAGAGAAAGCTTCTGGCTCCTAGCTTCCGATTGACTCAGCTCCAGCCAATGCAGCCACTTGTGGAGTAAACTGATGGATGTGTGTCTTTTTCTCTGTGAATCTGATCTGCCTTTCCAATAAAAACAAATACATGTTAAAAAAAAAAGTAGAATAGTATTTCTTGAGGTCAGGTTGCCTTCTTTTTAGGACTGTATTCCATCTGTATTGTGAAAACACAAAATGGGGACCTCTGCTTTCTGCTTGTACTACTTCAGTATGGATCCTCCCATCCATTTTATGGGTCAGAATATCACTCAAGGAGTAGGCGTGTTACCACTATGAACTTAGGGCGTTGTTACCCAGTTTTCAGGTTTAAAACAGGGTTGTTATGCTCTTCCTGTTGAATTTCTGTGAAAACAAAACTGAAATCTTAGAAGTGTGAACTCCAGAGTTAGACCATCTGTCCTTCCTGGCTTGTAGTTGTATTTTATAGGGACCTGCACATTGGGTTTTTTTCTGTGTCATTGGTTAACCTTCTAAATAAATGAACATATCTAACCCAATGTGGCAACCTAGTGTTCTTGCCCAGACAATTCCTCTGCTGTAGGTTGGATAATGACAGTTTACTTGGTGATTGTTAGCACATTTTAGCTTATGCTGTGTATAAATAAAGACAAATGATGTTTTTATAGTGAGACAGATATCCTGTAAGGAAATTCAGTATTCAATTACCTGTGATTTACAGCTGGTTTTCAGAAACCTGACTTAACTTTGATGAACCAAGTTCCTGGGAAGAGGAGAACAGTTGCCTTTGGCTTCTGGCCAGGTAGAAGCAAATTTAGGCTTATTAGAAAACAGCAGAGGTTAAAAACAAAACACCAACAACAAACCCTACAATTATATAGAAAGGTTCGTGTGTATGCAGTGTGTAGGATTGTAGAATATCTTACGTGAGGATGGCCAGGGCACCTAGGAAGTGGTCGTACCTTTTTGCAAGCAGTGGTTGCATTATTTGACCTGTTGTGCCCTCTTTCTCCATAATACATTGATGTAACTTTTGAAATGTTAAGTTGCTGTAAGACAACAAGTTGAAAAGTCAAAATAGGAGGGATGCTTTTTCTTCAGTTTCTCTGGTTTCATCAAGGCAAGAGGATGGGCTGTTTTCAGATACGCTTGTGGCTTGTAAGGAGTTAAGAGCCCCATCCAAGTTTCCCATGTGGCTGGCACAAACCCCACCATTAGGACCATCACCTGCCGCCCAGTGTCTATGTGAGCAGGAAGCTGGAAGTGGGAGCTGGAACTGGCACACAGACAAATCAGGCACTCTGATATGGGACCAGGTCATCCTCACCGGCAGGCACCTTAACTGCGAGACTAGATGCCAGTGCCTCACCATTACTTTTGAACCTTGAAATTTGGCCTTAATTTCTAATGACTGCAAATGACTTGAGAACAATTTGTTCTTTTCCTTTTTGCAGTGTGATGAGTAGATTTGCATCTAAATATTTGGCAGCATCCCAAGGATTTTTATTTTTAATTTATTTATTCTTATTGGAAAGGCGGATATACAGAAAGGAGGAAAGACAGAGAGGAAGATCTTCCATCCAATGGTTCACTCCCCAAGTGGCCGCAATGGCCGGAGCTGAGTCAATCCGAAGAGAGGCTGCTGGAATTAGAACCGGTTCCCATATGGGATCCCGGCGCGTGCAAGGCGAGGACTTTAACCACTATACTATGGTGCCGGGCCCATCCCAAGGATTTACTGTGTTGAAGGACGTGGATTTCTTCAAGATTCTAGATAGAGGGCCTGGCATGAAAGCCTAGTGACTAAATCCTTACCTTGCCTGTGCCTGAATCCCATATGGCTGCCTGTGCATATCCCAGCTGTTCCCCTTCTCATCTGGCTCCCTGCTTGTGGCCTGGGAAAGCAGTTAGATGTCCTAAAGCCTTGGAACCCGACATCCACATGAGAGACTTGGAAGAAGCTCCTGTCTTTGGATCAGCTCATCTCTGGCGGTTGCCGCCCCTTGGGGAGTGAATCAGCAGATAGAAGATCTTTCCGCCTCTTTCTCTCTAAATCTGCCTTTCCAATAAAAATAAATAAATCTTTAAAAAAAGATTGTAGATCGATTCTGTCAGATTGTTTCCTGGTGAAGTCATCCTAGTTTAGGTTTTCTCATTAGTGTTTGTATTGTTGTGAGCTCATTGCATTTTCT